GAAAGGGGACCCTACTATAGCACGGCAGCATTGTAAAAAGGGCCCTAAGAGGGCCCCTAACCCTAAACCCTAGAGCACTACTCATTCTGGGGGCACGCATGACGCTTGGGGCTTTCAGGCTCAGGACTCCCTGGGTTGCGCATCCAGGCTTTGGGGTTCCACCTAGGCCAAAGTACCTACCTTCTTAAGGACTTATAAAAGGAAATCATAATAGGGAACCCTGAACAGGCAGGTTCTTTGGGGTTCAGGTAGGCTTTGAGGTTCTAGGCTTTAGGGCTGAGGGTTTAGGGTTAGGGCTTTGGATTCTGGAGTCGTCAAGTCGTTTAGCTTTGCGGTTTAAGGTTCCAGGAAAGTCCTAGGCTCTCGAGCTTTAGGTTTGAAGGATTGGGTTCTGGGCCTTAGGTGTGCCTAAACCCTGAACCCTACACCCTAAAACCCTACACCCTAAAACCCTAAACCCTAAAACCCACAAACCCTAAACCCTAAACCCTACACCCTAAAAACCCCGAACCCCAAACCCTAAACCCTAAACCCCAAACCCTAAACCCCAAACCCTAAACCCTAAACCCTAAACCCCAAACCCTAAACCCTAAACCCCAAACCCTAAACCGCCTGCATGAAGCTTTGGGGCTTAGGGACTCCGGGACCCCCAAAAGCCATGGAATCCGAACGCGGCCTGGGGCGTTGTGTTCGTCTCCTGAAGCATCTCTACGACGATGTGCGCAAGCTCGCCCTGGGAAGACGTGGGTTTAGGGGTTTAGGGTTTTGGGGTTTAGGGCTTTAGGGTTTTAGGGTGTAGGGTTTAGGGTTAGAAGACGTCGACGGTTTAGGGCTTAGGGTGTATGAAGCTAAGAATTCCTGAAAGTGACCCCTCAGGTGGCGGTAGCGACCGCGACAGTGATGCCCATGCTGGCAATCATGTCATGATGGTCAGCCGGTGGCAACGACAGTAGCGTATGATCCTCACAATCATCATTATTACCAAAAGAAGCCGCAAAGTCATATATAATCGTTCTCATCCGCTTGTACGAACAGCAACAGTCCACATAACAAGGGTAGAGATGCTTACTAAATGCCCGGATCCCACACCTCGCGGCTGACAACGTTAATCAAGATTGCAACCGGAAAGACAGCCCAGTTCTGAAAGGGTTTAGGGTTTAGGGTTCAGAGTTTAGGGTTCAGGGTTTAGGGTTCAGGGTGTAGGGTTCAGGGTTCAGGGTTTAGGGTTTAAAGTTCAGGGTTGAAGGTTCAGGGTCTAGGGCTTAGGGAAAGCTTGAGCCACTTGAGTTGCTGACAACTCTGTTAGAAAGTCCAGACAGCTTTCATCAAGACTCCTAGTCAGGGCCTTCCTGCGCACCCTCCAAGAGAGCCACGCTCCTCCCTTATAAGGTCTGACGATCTCAACACGGTTTAGGGTTTAGGGTTTAGGGTTTAGGGTTTAGGGTAGTTCTACTTGGTTCAAGGTGCATATACCAAGCGACCGGCATGTTAAGAAGGCTTGTGCAGAAAGTACGCAAAGCTTGGTGTCCCACCTTCTTGTCGCCACAATTCAGCTTGAAAGGAGCAATTCCACGCACCGCATCGAAGACCTGTCGTAAGGTAAAGGCATTACCAGGCCCTGGGCATTTTCGGCTTAATGCGGTTTAATGTAGGGGCCTTACTAATTAGAATAGGGTTGTGGGCCTATTATACTCTAACTATAATATGGAACCCCCAAAACCCTAGTCTAATTATTACGGCCCCTACATTAGGGCTTTTGGGTCTAAGGGTGTTGGGCCTGTGGGGCTCATGCGCCAGCCCGGGCCAATCCCAATCCGCACTGTGTCACGGTGCAACATCTCAACATACTGCCCCTTCAGAGTCCTAATACAAGTATATATGGGTAGTTGTCAAAATTATGGTCCCATTTGGGGTACCCTAAATAATAGTTGCCGTATTAAAAAAGGACCCAAAAAGGGACCATAATTTTGACAACCACCCATATGATAGGCTTTTGGGGTTTTGGGTTGAGGGTTTAGGGATCCCTACGAAAGCTCTGTAGGCCCTCTCCTAATTGAGGCCGCGTCTTGCCTCTCTCGGGAATCCGTCCTTACGAACGGACCAGCCTAAATTTGTCAGTACTGTTTTACAATCGACCCTATTGAAAGTCTCGCTGCTTTCAATTTGTTGGGCATTCGGCTTTTAGGGTTTCGCGGGGAGGGTTCGGGCTTGAGGCTTGTCGGGGTGCTAGAGATGTTTCAGGTTTCGCATTCTATGGGTTTGAGGCGTTTTGGAACTTGGTGGTTTTTTGGGGTTCTACTTTTCTTACATTAACTCCTATGAACCCTAAACCCTGAAACCCTAAACTCTAGAAACCCTAAAACCCTAAACTCTACAACCCTAAAACCCTAAACTCCAGAAACCCAAAACCCTAAACTCTAGAAACCCCAAACCCCAAACTCTAGAAGGTAAAAATCCGAAACTCTGCCTTTGTGATCGCGAAGCCCATCGGCCGGACTGCGTCCAATGGCGACCACACCTGGCCCCGGCTCGAGATCGGGTGGTTTAGGGGTTTAAGTGTTTAGGGGTTTAGGGTTTAGGGTTTAGGGGTTTAGGGGGTTGAGGGGTTGGGGTTTAGGGACCCTAAACCCTAAACCCTAAACCCTAAACCCTGTTTAGGGGATGTAGTGGCTTAGGGTTTAGGGTTTAGGAATGAGGGTTGCGGGTTTAGGGTTTAGGCAGCCTAGGGCTGGGGATTCAGGATGTTTCGGGTTGAGGGTCAGTGCAGGGTGAAAAGTTTAGGGTTTAGGGTTGAGGGTTTAGGGTTTAGGGTTTTAGGGTTTAGGGTTTAGGGTTGAGGGTTTGGGGTTTAGGGTTTAGGGTTTAGGCTGTCGGGCTTCTGGGTTTTGGGTCTGGGTGGTGTAGGGCTTACTGTAGGATGTGCTTGTCAACCCTTTCTACCGTGCGCAAACTCTCGCGACAAGCAGAAGTACGTGTGTAACGATAAAGCACGAAACAAATGGCCAGAATCATGAACTGAAAAGACAACTCTTGAGGGAAACTGTGCGAACTTGTAGTGAGAGAACCCTGCACTGACTCACTCCCAGTGGCCTGGTCAATCGCACGAAAACTTAGGTTTTTTGCCACTGGTCAGCCACGAGTGCTGCAGTTGCAGATCGCAGGCGACCCGACACAATTACACGTTTTCCTTTGAAGCTTTGTGCGGACCGTGCAGATGCATAGGCCGGCCAGTTTTTTCTCGTCGCCGTGGTTGCATCAGGAGGAGGAAGAGGAGGAGGAAGTTCGGGAGGAGAAAGTGGCAAAAAGGGATGATTGATTGGAAGAGCGGGCGGAATAGCAGGTACAACAAGCAGTTGATGATACTAACTTTGTTAGCAGCAGTCGTTTCTGTCAACCTTTACTCAGGCCTGCAAGCATCTGCAAATCCCTGCAGAACACTCTCGCTGCAATGGCAGCAGTCATTGTCAACCCTAAACCCTGAACCCTAAACCCTGAACCCTAAACCCTAAAGCCAGACCCCTCGCATCTCCCAGCCCTCCCTTGGCAGAGTGCACCGGCAGGGAGGGGTTGTAGCGTTCAGCTTTCAGGGTTTAGGTTTCAGGGTTT